AACTGCTTGAAATACATATTACAGGAACAGTTTGGGTAGACCTGAACGAGGGTAGAGGAATATTAATGATATAAATAATATCTAGACTTACCAAAATTCAAAATAGCATGAGTGGAAATTTCATTGAAATATAACCTTGAGGGTTTCCTAGTGGTTTGAAGAGGCGGTTGAGGGTCAGTGTTAAGTATAGCTAACATAACATAACCACCAGAAGTGACTACTAATCCCAGAGATTCACTGGTCCGGTACCATAACATTTTGAACAACGAGTTGCTTGAAGGCCAAGAACTAAACATGCCACCGTACAAACATGTAATAATGATCCCAAATGGACGAATAAATACTTAAAGAAGATAGGTATGCGTAAAAGAATAAGTAAAGCAGTAACGGTTACCTTCAAAATTATTGGTATGGGTTACCCAGAAGGGTCAAGAAACATAGAAGGAATACAAAGAGATCATGAAACTATTATAACTCGGCTATTGGAGACTAATCCTGAAGGATTTTCCCAATGTGATTCCTGAGATAGATACTATCAATAAAGATGAAGTGAAGAAAATAAACTACTGTATGCAAGTTAATAGTGACTAGTAACGTTGTTAGTAAACAAATACATAGCTAAAACCCACGAAGTCACCAGGTCCCGATGAGATGTTTTATTTAAGGAATATAAGGGTAATCCTTTGGCGAACTTATTTAATACAACATATTGTTAAAATCAGGCGTTGTACCAGAATCTCGGAGAATAGTAAATGTAATGCCGATTTACAGAAAGGGTGATAGATAATCCTCAAACTACCGCCCAGTCAGTTTAACATAAATTATGGGAAATTATTACAATCAATAGTTATATATTTTAATTCGAAATCACCTAAAAAAAAAGTTGATTAATGACTCTCAACATGGCTTAATCAGAGGGCTTCTGTGTCTGATAAATTTATTGTCATTATTTTCAACTGTTTTAGAATCTGGACCATGAACACAACTGTGGTGTAGTTTACCTTGACTTTAACGAAGCCTTTTACAGGTTCCCCCACGAAATTGGAGGCACATGACATTGTAGGTAAAATTCTAAATTGGATTTGGGCTTGGTTAACTGAGAGGTAACCGAGGGTCATCGTAACTGGTAGCCTACAAAGCTGGCTGGGGTAACATCACTTTATTATTTCCACGCTAACCTCGCCCATAAGCCATGTCCCTCTTCTATGCTAATAGCCGATTGGTTCATAGAATTTTCAAACTAAATGTGTTCACAATTGGTAAGCAGACCCGTTGTTATCTAAAATAATGTTAAATATCTGGACTATCAAAATGCAAATAATTTCAAGGCATTAGCACTTCAGAGAGGATGTTAGAAAATTTTTAATAATTCTCACAAAAGTTCGATATAAATACGCGCTTATATACGCGCAATCCGGGGAGGTAAAACGCTTGGGGAACCAATCTCCTATTTGTAGCTGTAGAAGAGGGGCGTGGCTTATGGGCCAGGTTAGTGAGGAAAGAGTATAGTGGCGTTCCCAGGTCTCAATACTCGGGCCGCTACTATTTATTACATGCATTTACATCTTAGATGGAAGGGTTGATAGTGTAGTGGACGTCTCCCCTACAACTACGCATCGCATTCCGACGCGCTGGCGTCTCCTAGCAACCAAGCGAGAGCTGATGCCAGATGGTACGGTTGCTTAGCAACGAAACTAGTCACCGGCAACTTTCTGGGTTTTCCCAACATGATTCATAGAGGACTGGCGGCTGCTGCTGGGTATATAAGCTCTGTCTCTCCATTGAGATTGATTCTGCCCATCTTCCTGAACAAGCAACACCTCCTCCAGCAAGCTCCACGCTGTTAACATTCATTCAACCAGGAGGCCAGCAACAGGCAACATCTTCTCTAACGAAGCTCCTGCACATCTACCTTCTTCAACACGCTACTCACCGAACGTTTTCTACTGAGCAGCTCCTCACCAGACGGCACCTCCAGCACCAGACTGTCTATCATATAACTTATATATTATACAAGAAAACCACATTAGAGTTTCCTTCCATCCTGAGTGCTAGACAACATTAATATCTCGATACCCCTACAATAGGAACGTAAGTATATTTGCTGATGACGCAAAAATGGGGAGTGCAATTTACAGGAAGTCCTGCACAATTTTTATGAAAAATGGCAGACGTAATTTAATGTGGAAAATATTAATGATTAAGAACAAGGAAAAGAAACAGAAGAAGCGAGGTTATCATAGAATTACTGTATACTCGTATATGTGAGACTACACTTGGATTTGGTGGTTTAGTTTTGGTCACCGTTCTATAGAATAGATACCGATTACCCAGAAGATGAAGAAGCTACTACTAGAGTGTAGTAGGAACCTTGAGTATAGAGACAGATTAAGAAACTTTATTTGTATTCTCTTGAGATACGCAGATATGATTGAAATGTTTTAATGCAAGTTGGGGCTACGTAAAGGTGTTAGGTAAATTTGATATTGGCGGGAAATAGGTGGACATGGTTGGAAAATAGTTGTGTATGAATGGAACAAGTTACCAAACACCATTCACAGCACGAACTACTGTAGCTAGGAAGTTTCAGACAATACGTTGGACAGATATATGAATGATAAGGGATGGGTGTAAACAGGGCTGCTTACTGTAGTATGGACCATTAGCCCTCTTCCAGTTTCCTTCATCCTTAGCTATGTGACCTAACCTAACCCCACCCCACCCCATTTAGTGTTTGGGTGTTTATTATCAGGTGAAATAAGCTGAGGTGCCTGGTATTAATGTGATATAACTAGGTATACCTTATTAACTGTGTAGCAGTGAAAAAAAACTGTTCATCCTTTTACTGTACTTAATATCTAAGGGATTATCCAGAAGCTTTAATAATTTAATGAGGACTGAAGGGAAGGATAGTGATGGCCCAGTCCCAGTGTTGACCCAGTCCCAGTGTTGACCCACCACTGAACAAGGTATAGTTTGCCACGTTGGCCTGGCGTCACACACACATAAGAACATAAGAAAATAAAGAGTCTGCAATGGGCCGGTTGGCCTGTGCATGGCAGCTCCTGTCGAGAGTTACTACCACTCTATCATCCATGAATCTATCTAGCCTCCTTTTGAAACTTTCCAGCGTTCCAGCTTGTTTCACTCGTCCACCATCTTATTTGTGAACCAGTTTCTTCCTATCTCCCTCCTAAACCTAAGCTTATCCAACTTAAATCCGTTGCTCCGAGTCCTATCCTGCTCGGATATTATAAGAACTTTATCTATATCCCCTTTATCGATTCCTTTCACCCACTTAAATACTTCTATCATATTTCCCCGCACTCTTCGTCTTTCTAGGAAATGCAATTTTAGTTTCTTTAACCTATCTTGATATGGAAGGTTTCTAAGTCCCGGAATCATTTTTGTCATTCTTCGCTGCACATGGAAAGATAGTCCACCCAGGGTGGATGCCACGTGGGCCTGGCTTCACACACACTGTTAGATAGTACATCCCAGGGTGTATGCCACGTGGGCCTGGCATCACACACACACTGTTAGATAGTACATCCCAGGGTGTATGCCACGTGGGCCTGGCATCACACACACACTGTTAGATAGTACATCCCAGGGTGTATGCCACGTGGGCCTGGCATCACACACACACTGTTAGATAGTACATCCCAGGGTGTATGCCACGTGGGCCTGGCGTCACACACACACACGTTAAGATAGTCCACCCAGGGTGTATGCCATGCGGGCCTGGCATCACGCAGGAAGAGAGAGATAGTATGTCTTGTTTTGGAGGTTTGTGAACCAGTAAAGTTATCTCAGCAAGCCGTTGGGGACATGGTTATATCACTAGTACTGGCTCACAACTGATATCAGTCACACAGTCTCTCCTGAGTGGGGATTGGAACCTGGAGCAGGTGGACTGCCTCTCGGGTATGATGACAATACTATCCCAGTAACCGTATAGATAAGTGTGTGTGTGTGTGTGTGTGTGTGTGTGTGTGTGTGTGTGTGTGTGTGTGTGTGTGTGTGTGTGTGTGTGTGTGTGTGTGTGTGTGTGTGTGTGTGTGTGTGTGTCATCAGGGCCTGGGGGCGATAATGTAATAATATTGTTTGATAATGATAATAGTAATAAAGAAATGCAAAAATAATTCAAGATTGAGAAACAAAATACAGTATGTATGTTGTGTTGTCAATAGTAAGAGAAACAATTGAGACCCTGCAATTTTGTGTAAATGGGGCAGAAAGTCAGATCAGCAACCTGGGACTTGGTCATAATTTTTGTGATGCTATATGGCAGCAGGATCTACCATTAGACAATACGTTATGCTTCCAATATCTTCCCAGGCGGTAATACCTCCCTGTTTGGTAGCTGCCTACTACCTAGTATACTTTACAGTCACCTAACGAATAGTAAACGTAACGCTGGCGGGCAACTGAAAAAGTGTAAGGATAGTCTTAAGACAAACGTGAAAAAGAGCTAAATCGACCCCTTCGCATGGGAGATGATTTCTCCACATCGTAACGCTTGGAGGAACACTACACGGGAAGGTGTCAATACTTTCGAGGTAGCCCGACTGTATAACGAGGCAGACAAGTACCAACGCCGGAAAGATGCTGCGGCTGCCCTCTCCCGCACTAAATGTACCCCCCCACATGTGCAACATCTGTGATCGACCCTGCCGGTCCCGTATCGGCCTCTTTAGTTACCTCAGAACTCACCAACCTAGGTGACATCCCTAATAACTCTTATCATTGTATCACAGCTGGATGATCGTCATACTCAATTCCGAATGTCAGCAAAGTAGTAGTGGTAGTAGAGTGTGTGTGCGTGCTTGCCTGCGTGTTGATTGAAGCTAACATTGTTATTGTGTGTTTTGTGGTGGGGTGGTTGAGTTATATGCAAGCACTAGGCTTATGTGATTGTTGACAGTGGGAGATTTTACAGTGCTGTACATGCTGTGTATTACAGTACTGTGAAGGATTAACTTTATATTTTTTACAGTGTTATGTGGTGTGGGGGGTGTGGTGAGCTGCTGGGTGCTGTGGTGGGTGATGACTCGTCGGTCGGCGCCCAAGCCTGGCCTGCTGCACCTGTTCACGGGCAAATACCTACACCCGCAGCGCTGCTCCACCACCTTCCACTGGGATGACCCCTCCATTGTTGGCACGACCGTCGCCTTCACCGTCCAGGTATACTGGCTTGCTCTTCACCCTTCTCTCTCGTTTACTCATGATTACTATTTTCTTTCTCTTGCAGTATTATTATTACCATTATTATTATTATTACATGTATTATTATTATTATTACCTGTATTATTATTATTATTATTACATGTATTATTATTATTATTATTATTATTATTATTATTATTATTATTATTATTATTATTATTATTATTATATTATATTATATTATTACAGGGTATTATATTATTATTATTATTATTATTATTACTGTTGTATTACTATTATATTTCAAGTACTGTATTATTATTATTATTTTTATAATTATTATCATTATATTCAATCAATCAGAGTACAGGAGGTCCTCGTTATAAGAGTACTCTACAGTATTCACTATCCGCGGTTTCGCAGTCATGTGGTCAACTTTTTTGTGACCATCCACATAAAAAGTCCCTGCATGTAAGTGGATTCCCCCCAGAAAACCACTCAAAGATTCTGAAAACTCCGGATAAAATCTACAGGTTTTTAGCTGAAGCATTCAAAATTTCATCCCCCTTCCTGGCATCTCCTCGCCAGTCTCCCTCATTGTTTCATCCAAACCTGTGCTGTGTTGTGTTTACTCCTGCCTGTGTTGTGTTTACTCCTGCCTGTGTTGTGTTTACTCCTGCCTGTGTTGTGTTTACTCCTGCCTGTGTTGTGTTTACTCCTGCCTGTGTTGTGTTTACTCCTGCCTGTGTTGTGTTTACTCCTGCCTGTGTTGTGTTTACTCCTGCCTGTGTTGTTTCTTTTCATGCATATTGTGGTGAATTATTTTATAATTTTTGTAGCCATAAGATCCCAACCCAAACAGGGTTGAAAAGGAAGCACACTAGATGTAAAATTAGAAGTGATTAGGCAAAAGAAGAGTGGGAGTGGACAATCCACCTAGTCCTGTTTCTTTTTCATCCTCCGACTAATCCTCCTCTCCCAACACCTACCTTCATCAATCCAATCAAGCCAAACATCTCTATCTTTGAAGCTAAGTAAATAAAAATATATTATTATGTTGACATTATTTATTTTTAAAACATTATACTAGTAAGTAATTTGTCTCAATGAAGCACTTGAGTGAGTGTGCACCAGCTGGCACAACCCACTTTGCTTCAACACACTGACCCCAATGAACTTTAAGAACACTAAATTACTTATAAAGTTAATAATTTCTTTAAGTAATGTGCTATCAAATGTTTAACAAATGTTTCTAAAGTAAATAATTGTTAAAAGATATCATTATTATTTTTTTTTTTTGAGTGTCATGTACAATGTCATGGTTCCAATTTGACCTGTTTCCAACACTGTATTTCTTATGGGATTATTTCCCCGCTTTAAGTGAATTCGTTATCAGAGGTGTTTTTCCGGACCCAATTAACTGCAAATATTGAGGACCCCCTGTACTCTCCTCATATCTGAGGGCTGGCGAACACAGTCCTGGACCACCGTAAACATTCTCAGGCTGTTTTTATGATTCCACCAAGGTTTTGTATCTCTGGGGATTCAGTTTTTAATTTCATTCATCCTTCCATCCCAGTCGCTGCTTTCCCCTGGTCCTCCTGCCCTTAACTTTGGCCATTAATATTTCAGTTGTTATCCCCTCATCCCTAATTATGTGACCAAAGTGTCTCATTTTTCTTTTTGTCTACATTTCAAGTAAAGTGTATTTCTCTTGAAGTTTTTGCTAACCTTATTACTGCGTTTGTTTTCTTGTCAGTGTAGCTTGTTATTAGCATTTGCTTATAACACCACATTACAAAGGCCACTAACCTCTTTCTTGTGTCTGCTGAAAGTGTCCACACTTCTGACCCCTACAACAGTCCTTGCCATATAAAACCTTTCAGCAATCTTTTTTTCTCAAATTGAAGGAAATGTCCCTATTCATTAGGTCTTTTATATTATTAACCTTCTCATGGTGCTTTGAAGCAAATTGTGTCGCTAAACACTCCTGTGCTGGCCCAACACCTCATGCTCAGTAGTATCTCCTTCTGAGAGCACCTCTCCTGCAAGCCTTGTGGGCTGGCAGCAGGGAGGGGTAAGATTTCCAACCAAAGTCATCTGCACCAGAAGGTGAAATGCTGTTTTTTCTTGACTTGTCTTGTTATGATTTCTTTTGCACATCTACCATCACAGCTAATAGTACTTCCCAAATACACAAAATTCTTCACTTGTAAGTTTCCTGTTGTCTACCATAATTTTATTTTGGGATTTATTTCCAATTTGTAAACATCAATTACTTTCGTCTTTACAACGTAACTCTTAATCTTTCTGTACATTTCCTTTCTAGATCATCTTCTTTGGCCTGTTTACATTCCTTTGTATTTATTTATTTATTTTATATTTTGTTAGCCTCACTCCTCTTATCATCTTTCTTCATTTATCTATTTTCTCTAAAATTTAATTTGTCATCCACTTACTGTACTTTTAGCATTGTTCCTCCTATGTCCTATAAGATTTTCCCCAGTGTCTAACATTATTTCTCTGTAATTATTAAATTATTGTCCTGGTCCTTGTTCATCAAAGTCACTCTCTAGCAATACTGAAAATCTATATTTGGTTTCTAAGTCAATTAATATTTCTTCTCTCATTTTTGTTACCCAAACCATGTGGTCCTACATCTGGCCCTTCTCTCCTTTTCTCAACTTATGCATTAAATCACCCATTATAATCAGATATTCATTAAACTTCACAGTGTCTTTTGCTTTCTTTAATTCTTCACACAGATACAATTTTTCTAAGACTTCCTCCTCACTACAATTTGTTGATGCATTAACCTGTATTAATACCAAGTCCATGGGTTAAGCATTAAACTTGACTAACAAAACTCTTTTGTCTGACACTGCCAATATCCTTTAATGCTACTGCTGAACTTCTGGTTTACAAGAGTACCAACACCTCTCTCTTATTTTTCACCACCTGAATATAAATAAAAACAATCTTCACGACTAATGCTAATAGAACCTGTCCATCTTACTTTAATTAATCACAGAAATGTTACTTCTCTTCATTTCCCTACAAACATTTGCATACAAGAGCTCCCCCACTTACGAACATTCAAGTTATGAACTTTCGGAGATACGAACAAACATGTCCAATTGCCCAATTGCCTATTTGAAAACCGCGCCGGGTCGTAAGTTCAACCGCCACACGATAGATGGCGTTGGCTGTTCAGCGTCACCCTGTATCCCTAGCGCCATTGTTGTTGTTGTTCCTCTGCTGCCTCACGGTGTTATTTGTGGTTTTGACGAATATTATTGACCCCAACATGTCTCAGAAGTGTAAGAGTGATGCCAGTGGTGATGGTGGTACCCTGTAGTAAGAAGCGTCGCACTATTACATTGAAAACTAAGGTGGACATTATAAAGAGTTGTGAAAGAGGTGAGAAAATGATAAGCATAGTAAATGCTCTTGGGATGAATCGATTGACTGTTGGGACAATTTTGAAGGACAAAGAGCGCATTATGTAACATGTGGGTTCTGTGCCGATGCATTCCACGATCATTAGTAAGAAAAGAGGCTCAGTGATCACAGAGATGGAAAAACTTTTGAGTGTGTGGCTGGCAGACCAGCAGCAGCACCGCATGCCTATAAGCCTTAACTTAATTCAGCGGAAGGCCATAAGTCTCTTTGAAGACGTAAAGGCTAAACATGGTGAGAGTGCTCATTTATTATCACTATACATGCTATTCATACATTAAAATACCGTTTAAGGTTGGTAAGAAATACTGTCGAGTATTATTGGGGTATAGCTGTCTGTACAACCTTTTTTTACAATGCTGTATACAGTATTGAGTATTGACAAGAGTAATGTTGGACTTACGAACAAATGGACTTACGAACAGACCTCAGGAACCTAGCCAGTTCATAAGTAGGGGAGCCCCTGTACTTACCAGCCTCATTATAATGTCATCATGTTCCGTGTTCCAATCTTGATTTTGTGATTGTTCATTCTTGATATTTCCGTAGTTGTGTTTAACCTCAAAGGCTTTGTTTTGCTCGGGAGGCAATGCGGTTGGACATTTAGGTGACAATGATCCATCGGGAATGCCCACAAATCGTTTATTGTGTCCGTACATAGCTGTTCAAGGGCAAGGGATGAAGATAATAAAAATGGATGCCCCAAACCATTACTCATCAGAAGACTAATTAAAGGTAGTAGAAAAATTTGGGAATGAAGTATGGAGTGTGTGTTTAGCAAGGAGCTACTTTCAACCTCTTTATGTGAAGTTACAAGATGAGCACTTTGTACCTATCCCAGGTATGTGAAAATGGTGCATTTGAGCCTCACACCAATATAAGGTAATGCAAATTATGGGACTGGATGGAGTTGTACCTTGTTGGGAATTTTTACATCAAGTCCCCAATTATATTATTATTATAATAATCATCAAATACTATTATTACAGGAGTATCACTGTACTGTATATAAATCTTCTTTAATTATTATTACCTTGTAATATTATTTATTATTATTATTATTATTGTTATTATTATTATTATTATTATTATTATTATTATTATTATTATTATTATTATCCTCTATTATTATTATTATTAAATATTATCATCATCTATTATTATTATTATTATTATTATTATTATTATTATTATTATTATTATTATTATCATCGTCATTATTATCATCTATTATTATTATGATTATTAAATATTATCATCATTATCATCTATTATTATTATTACATGTATTATTATTATTATTATTAATATTATCAATATATTATTATTTATTATTATTATTATTAATATTATTTATTATTATTTATTTTTATTTTTAATATTATTTTTATTATTACTTTTATTATTATTATTATTATTATTACAGGTACACCACCTTGGTTCCAGAGCCTTGCCGGATTATCCGTTTTGCTGGACCAACCGAGGTCACATAATAATATATCAACAATACACCTCTGACCCACCAAGTGTACACCTCCCATGTCTCTAAAGCACCATGGACTGCCAGAAACTTAAATTAAACTAATATTAAATGTGAATTAAGTGATTAAATGAAACAGGTTTATTAATTACTGCACCTGTACTTAACAAGAATGTTGCAGTACTACCGCTCCCAAAGTGGCAAATTTTAGAATTTTACTGGAACTGTGGAACTAATGACAAGGTCTGGAAGTTGAAGGCTGTCAAGATTACTGTCTGTTTCATCATGGTTTTGTGATGTTGCAGGGGGGACATCCAGGGTACTTGAAGTTGAAGCCGCAAGATTTTCAGATGTAGGCCTACTACTCTGATACAGATTCTTCTTGGCTGTTTTTTTAAACATTTCTTCCAAGCTAAGTTGTTTCATGTGCTTTGATCTTTCCTCGTGTAATTTTTCATGCATCAAATAAAGAATCATTAGCTCTTTTTCCGTCACAAAGGTATGCTGCTCTAGCCCTTTGATTAATTCACCCGACAACTCAATTAACTTGTCAATAGTAAGTCTTTCAGTTACATCTGTTTCATCTTCATATATGTCTTCTTCATCACTTTCATTGTTTTTATCAGGATTCAGAACAATATCTATAATTTCAGAGTCCGTACAGTGATAAACAACAGGCGTTTCTTCGTTAACATTTATCCACTCGGCCAGATTTTCTTCTTTAAGCCTACTTGCTATTTCCTTGGCAACAGGTCCCGTAACACTTTTTGCATACTCGAGAAACTCACGAACAACTTCTTTCTCCTTTGATACATGAAATCCTGTAAAGCCACTTTCAAGATTTTCATCAGGTGAATTATCAAACACCAAGGCAGGCTACAACTTATGGCAGCCTTTCTTTAGTGTTGATGCTTGTCCCTTCTCCCAGGCACTTGCAACAAACCAAAGCACATCTTTCAAGTTAAATTCTTTAAGAAGTGTCTCTACAAGCTTGCCAGTGTTTACCACATCTAACATACGTTTCATGAAAAGTGAGCGATACTTAGCCTTCACAGAGTGCATTATTCCTTGGTCTTGGGGTTGGATAAGGGAGGTACAGTTTGGTGGTAAATACACTGCATAAACATTTTTCTTACACAGGAGTTCAGCTCTGGGGTGAACTGAACAGTTGTCCAGAATAAGAAGAATTTTGCAATCTTCTGGTAGCCCTGCAGATGTGCAGTGTGCTCTGGCTTCTGGCACAAAAAAATTTTCAAACCATTCTCAGGTAATCTTGGCGGTAATCCAGCCATTTTTATTTGCACGGTATATTACTGGGTAAATTTTAATGCCTTTCAAGGCCTTAGGGCATATACTTTTCCTATCACCAGTGGCTTACATCTGTGTGTGCCTGCTGCATTTGAGCACCCTAGGATGGTAACTCTATCCTTAGATTGTCTGAATCCTGTGCGCCCTTCTTTGTCCTCTGTTGTTAATGTCCTTCTAGGTGTGCATCACCAATATAATGCAGTTTCATCTGCATTATACACCTGCTGGGGACTGAGGTGCTTGTCGACTACAATGTTGTCAAATTTGTCCACATACTTGGCAGCGCCTTCGTGGTTTGTGACCGTTTTTCTCCACATTATGCATGGAAATTCCAGTATGCTCTCTTAAATCTTTGAACCCATCCTTCACTATAGTTACACTCATGTTCTAATTAAAGTTCTTTATGGAGCATCTTAGCCTGTTCCATTAACATGCTACCCAACAAGTCCACTCCATCACTCTGTGTTGTCGAAACCATTCCATCATCACACGATCATGCTCAGTACTCTTACCATCTTTCATAGTTTTTCTAATGCTCATTTGCTTCTTGGAATCACTGCCTGTATAGAATTTCAATATTGTGTCCCTTTGCTTCTTTATATCATAAACAGTTCACAAACTAATACCATACGTATCACACAGCGTCCGCACGGAAACACCACGGTCCAACTTTTTCAACATTTCTACCTTATCTTGTATCGATATGGACTGGTGTTGACGCTTGACACCACCCCTGACACTTGCAGCTTTCTTAGAAACCATACCTAGGGTTAAATATAAGCATAATAAGCTAAGAATCGCACAAAATCGAGGGATCACCATCGCTAACAACTGCAATGTAAACAGTAAAGTGAGTTCGCGCCACACTCAATGCCATCTGTAGCCGCCCAGTAAACTAGTCTGGCAGTTGCTGGAATTTCATGTGCCCTCTCGTAAATTTGTCCGGACTGACCAAGGTGCCGGACCATCAGTTCCCGGAAAATCGATGGTGTATTTGTATTATAGGTCCATTGCAGTACAGTTAACCTGACTTTTTTTCATACGGTAATCAAATTAAAAAATATTAGTCTTTCTCCCACTTTGTGTGCAAGTATTGTATTTTTATTTAGGTGAAGTACAGTACAGTGATACCTCCGTTAGCCGGATCAATTGGTGTAGAGCACTTCTGGGAATGAGAGATTTCCGGGTAATGAGACGAATCTCTCAAAGCCGGAAAAAATCCCTCCTCCCCGGAATTTTCCAGATACCGGGAAATTTTCTCGGAATTTTCCAGAAAATGTGCCCCTTGGATCTTTCCCAAAGCCGGAATTGTCCAGAAAATTAGGAACGATTTTCCAAGAAAATTTCAATTCCGGCTGGCGGAGAGTTTTGGTTTTGAGGAATTCCGGCTAGCGGAGATATTACTGAACTCCAAAAGTATTTTATTTTATTGGTTTCAGACACAATACCTACTTACAGTAAGGTACAAGTTCAAGTTCAGATATAGAACTTTAATTGAACTGTATTACAGTATAAAGACAAAATAACATCCAAGTTACATATAAATAATCCAGCAGCTCAGTGTTATATAATGAGAGGAAATGTGTGTTACACACAGGTGATAACTTCATCTGTGGACAAAATATTTTTACATTTGCTCACTTATTGTCTCCTGTCTTTATGTTCATTCTCTTTTATTTTTTGCCAATTCTCCACAACTTGTTTTTATCTTCTTCCACTATTCCTTCTCCTCTGGGTTTTCTTCCTCTTCCCACACCACCACCTCCTTGTCTTCCTCTCCTTACTCTTACCACACCACCACCTCCTTGTCTTCCTCTCCTTACTCTTACCACACCACCACCTCCTTGTCTTCCTCTCTTCAAGGCTTATGTAAACTTTTTGTTTACCATCAGGCATATTTTGTGTTTGCATCTAGGTGACACCAACCATTTTGCTGTCACACAAATTCTGTTTTTTGAGATAATGACGAAGTTTAGCCAGTAAACACAAATGCTATATTTAAATTTGTTCCCAGTCAGTTTACTATGTTTAACCCCAATAATAATGTAAATAGATATATTTACAGTACTGTACAGTAATTAAGAATCCATAACTTTTAAATATAATTTGAAACATGACAAAAGAAATAGTTTTTTTTAGAAGGGTTCACACAGTCTATTTTTTATTGTTTACATACCCAACCTTCTTACTTCCTCAAATTCTCTTGTTTGCTTTCAATTGGTGCAAACCAATTTGTTAAGTGATTAATTTGTCAGGAAAAAGGGATAATTGATGACATGGTGTTCTTTGATGTACTGTACCAGTACTGCTTCATATTGAAAAGGTTGTTCCATTATCCTTCTAAAATTTTTCCATTATCCCATATATGGTCCCATTTTTCCTCATAATGTTTGTCTCACACAATTTGGGTGTTTTTATTTGCCTGACAAGGTTTTCATCATTGTTGTCCTTGGCCCTCAGTGTTGTCACTTGTTAGCTTCTAGCCTGTAGGGAACTGCAACTTCTTTCTGTTAATCTTATTTCCCAGTCAGTATAGGTTAAGGATTATTTGAGTTCTTAGCCCCAAGTCTGGCAGGCATATTCATGAGTGGTTCTATTCCAACTTAGTAATAAAACTTCAGATTTCGGGATCAGCCGCCAGTATTTTCAAAATAAAATTTTTATTTAGGTTAACTTATCCGATGCCAATGGAGATTGTAATGGAAAAAGGTTAATAACAATATTATTTTTCTTTGTACAGTTTTACCAGCGAAATGGCCGGCCGTACCCCATCAGTGATGCCGACGGTGTGCTGGTGGAGATAACACAAGGCATTCATAAGGTGTGTGCTTCCTGTTAATAGACAATAAGTGAGGAAGATATAAACAGGTATACCTTGCTTAACAAAAAGGTTAGGTTCCTGGAAGACCATTCGTGAGGTGAATTTTCATATCTTGAATAACAGAGCAAATGGAAAAATAAGGCTTGGTTCCCCAACAATAAAAAAACAAACAATATTATACCCCCCAAAACATGAAATCAGTTCACAAACAGCAAAAATCCTACCTAACTCATGATAAATAGGACACAACTACTGTGATTTATTACCTAACACATTAAAATTATGAATAAAATACTGTACAGGTTGAAGCTCCCATATCCGGCAACCATGAGATCAGCTCCGAACTGGATATAGAGAATTACTGTTATTTAAATGGTTGTAGTTTTTATGTACAGTCAGCAAAAAAAACGTTCTGCACCCCTTGGTCTGATGGCCTCTGCAAGGATCACTGACTGAGGCCATGTTAATTGGTAAGGTTGGTATTTCTGATTGTGTGATGCATTGTATAACCAGTATGATGTATTTTTGATATCACTTATAGTTAATACAGAGAAATTAACAGGAATCACCTGCGTAAATGAGTGTTGTTCAGAATTCTTGGTCCGGTGTGTCATATTGTTTAACACCATAAAGGTGCAGAAAATGTTTGTTGACTGTTCACTCTGCAACTGTTCCGCCTTGTTCACCTGGTCGCAAGATATTGCTATTGTGGCAACAGTGCGTGTGTGTTCGTGTGTACATGAACCATGTACTCATTAATTGTCAATCAGAAACAGTCGTTAAGTTGACCCATAGATGGCACAGGACGATGTAAGGGGAAGGGGGGGGGGGTCTCTGGGAGTGAGGGGGAGCTTGGCAAGTGACAGGATGGCAGTGAGGTGGGGTCAGGTTGTTAACTCCAACATTGTTATAATTTGACTACTATTTTTTTTTCAATTTCAGTGAGATGTTGATATTTTATAACCTTCATTACTGCCTGATTCTGGGGTCACTAATTATAAGGGGATAACTTAACTCTACTCTTAATTTTAAAGTTGCTGCCACTAGCCCCCTGGACAGTATGTAGCCCATTAGGTAGCGGGCAGAGTAAGCTAGGCATTGGGTTGGGTTTTTCATTGACCAAATCGAGAGTGGGAAGAAGGGTGAAACATCAATCATGACTTAACTAATTTATTCCTTATAAAAACATATTGTATTCCGTCACACTACAAAAAGAGTTGGCCCTTATCAGTAAAACCACTATTATGTTCATTACACTTCACATCAATATATGTCTTTCATCAAATAATTACTATTATCATCTTCATTCCTCATAACAACCATTGACCTCCTTACCTTGGTCATTCCTTCTTACCATAACACATCAGACTGCACCACATAATATATTATAGCACCACATCCCGGGTACACTCCACACCTACAAGTATGGAACTCCTCGGTATTCTTAGGTACACATACCAGGTACCTCGTTCACACACTACTCTTGTTGAGTAGATGGGATACTTCCCAGGTAATCATACCAGTACTGGTTCCACGCCTGGTATTCTTAGGTTGCTCTACGTGGCGACTGCGAAACTTCTCAAACACACAATTATATTCTCCTATCCTGGGTGGTGATATGTAGGGTATCCACAGGTTCACATTGGAGGTGCTAATGGCCATAAACAGACACACCATGCCCAGTGAGTTCCTCACAGTGGTGGTTGGTGGTGGCTTGGCTGATGCTCTGGACGTGTGTGTACCTGTTTTGGTGAGAGAGCGGGCATCACTGAGTAAAGCCTGATGGGCTTTTATCACCACGCATTATTGCAACTATTACAGTACTTCACTTTATTACCTCGGGCAAGGTTTTAAGATGTAAAAAACTGCTAGATAAGTCTTTTTAGGGCTGAATGGAGCACGATGGCGTTCACTGACCTGTTTTGGTGGGAGAGTGGGCATCACTGAGAACGGCACCTCGTGTCTCTCACTGAACTAGGCCTACAGTTTCCAATCTTTAATTTTCACTTTGATATTATTCTGGTTCTCACATATACACTTTCCTATCTATTGTGACCTTATGCCTTATAATTATATATCTTAATCCTAAATTACATACTAAAGTAAGGGTCTGGTTTGCCAGTTCCTGGGGAAATTCATTGGGCTATATCATTAACTCAAAACTATAGCCCGGGGCAGAATGGGCGCCAACATGGAACAAAGGTCTAGGCTTGTGTTTTCTTGGCGTGGGTATATCCACTTCACTTCAGTCTCTATTTAGGGATCCTCCCCTCACACGTTGCAATCGTTGAACACATTCACAAGATTCACTGATCATTGCATTGTTTGTGGTTATACGTCACATGAGATAGCGAGATGTATTAAGCTCCCACCGAGGCATACAAGATATTTTCTTTGAAGTATAGTTTCTGGATCACTTCCAACACTTCACATAGGTCTGATATATTTATCCTTTTTCCAGATCATTGTTCTCTTATATTTTCATCTGATATCTGCAGTAGCTATGTTCACTAATTGTTCACAGATGTAAGTAGTATGACCTTCAAACACGACCTCCTCTTATCCCTTATAGTACACTACTCCGTATCAATTGGACCTTCCCAATCATCCTATAGATACCTTGAGTTCTCCTTAATGCCATAAGTATACAGGTTGTACCTCTCTAGTCCGGCATTCTGTGGTCTGGTAACTCCCGTGGTCCGGAACGATTTTAGTTTGTCCAATAGGTAGATAGGCAGCTTTTTTTTTTTTTTTTTTTATTATTATTATTAGTTCTGCAGGCCCCACCCCGTGGGTCAGTGACCTATGCCCGGTGGGCTAATCCTAAAAAAAAAAGCCGGAAATTAAGGTTTGTTTACATCCGGCAGTTCGGCTGCTCTCTCTCTCTGCTTGTCTATACAGAGTACAACATTTAACCCTTCAATATATATGAGCAGTAAATAAGTGTTGCTTTCATATTCTTATGTAGAGTAATGACGATATATTTTCACATGTGCGCACTTACATACGAGCAGTCTCACTTTTTTTTTACCATTAATGGTTAGCTACTTATATTGTTCCATTTATTAACATTAAATAACATTACAGGTACTTCAAGCAACCATATTCATTTTTTACATTAATTTTACTACAGCTAAACTCAGGGTCTTATTTTCTTCAGTTTTATATGTAGAACCAATCAGTCACTGGTTTCGTAAGCTTTAACATAAACAATGCCGGCAGCCGTCTCGTCTCCTCTAATATTCCACGTATTATTAATAAATTGTATTGTTAATTTTGCACACACGTACATTAATTCAATAAAAACAAATTCAGAAACATTAATTAAAATATATATGAACAGTAAATAAGTGTTGCTTTCATATTCTTATGTAAAGTAATGACGATATGTTTTCACGTGTGCGCATGCGCACTTACATACGCGATCTCTCTTTTTCTTTACCATTATCGTTAGCTACTTCTATTGTTCCATTTATTAACATTAAATAACATTACTTAAAACAACCATATTAATTTTACTACAGCTACAACCAAGGTCTTATTTTCTTCAGTTTTATATGTAGAACCAGTCAGTCACTGGTTTTGTAATCAACGAAAACAATGTTGTGTCATTTCCTCGTGTGTTTTAATATTCTACGTATTATTAATGAATTTTATTGCTCATTTTGCACACATAAACATTAATTCGATAAAAAAGACATTCAGTAATAAACAATAATGAATCTTTTGTACATAAGAGAAATGACGCTGTTTACACGATTATGCACGTCGTCTGCACGTTGGCGGGCCGTTCAAACCCGTTGAAATTCAAGTTTCCGCCGTCAAAATTTTTATTTATTTATTTTTTTGTGTGTTTCAATAAAATACGTTAAGAATTAAAAACTTGCGAAATTTGAGAAGCTACTATACGACATTTAGCCCTTCAATATGTCTTCAAAGAGACCATGACACAGAGAAAGTGGTGCTAGTGCTTCCAGGCATAAGCACAATTCACTATCTATCCAGGAAAAGGGTGAATTTCCATGGTACGGCAATTTCCATGGTCCGGCACCGGTCAGGTCCCGAGGTTGCCGGACTAGAGAGGTACAACCTGTATACACTTAATATTATATGACCGTACCTTGGTACAATTCGTCTAAAACAACATACAGTAGGTGAGTTATCCCTTAAGAAAGTTTCCCGTTTTCTACCGTTTTCTGCGGTGGATTTGAATGTTATGTAGCGTAATATGAATTAAAGAGAGATTAAGGATGACAATGATGTGCGCAGTACATCATAAGATGACACACACACACACACACACACACACACACTCTGACTATATATTATCAGTTTGTGCTAATGAGGAATGATGAAGCATAAATATGCATTTACTTTGACATTAATAATAGTTCCAAATATACAATACAGACACAGTTCACATTATGGAGGAAATTAACCAGTAAACATTAAACTGATTTACCAATTCTTCGTTTCAGTAACACTAATGCGGCACCCATGCCCAAGGTGATAAATCCGTTAATGTAAAAGGTGATCATGTGTTCAGTGGCGGATAGTGGAGAGACGGGAGGTGGGGGGCAGCTGACACTCCCATGGCACAAACAGTTGGGTTCCATTGTCATTGTAGAGGTTCCTGTCCTACCAGTTATGTCAATAATTAAACTTAACATATTATATTTCTGAATGATACTGATGAACAACCACTTCAAATGAAAACTAAAAGGTGAGAGGTGTATGAATATTATATGGAGCAAACAATGAACATATTTTCTGAAGTGGATCCATTAACAGAACAAAGCATTAAAATTTAAAAAAATGCAAATGACCTTTACATAAAGATGTATAATGAGAAAAGAAAGCAGCTGAGCAAGGTTCTTTAGACAGCTTTGTTATTTGAAGGCCTAAACCATCAACTTCAGCTACACCATCAAATTTAGCATCATAAGCAGCTTCAACATCAACTTCAGGTTCAGTAACAGTTTCAGCAACAGCTTTATGTA